AGTAGTAGTAGTAGTAGTAGTAGTAGTAGTAGTAGTAGTAGTAGTAGTAGTAGTAGTAGTAGTAGTAGTAGTAGTAGTAGTAGTAGTAGTAGTAGTAGTAGTAGTAGTAGTAGTAGTAGTAGTAGTAGTAGTAGTAGTAGTAGTAGTATATACGCGTCAATTTCACCTTCTTGTATCTGTTCAGGCTAATCAAAGAGCTGTTTCAACACGCAAGGAGCCAGCCTGGACAATCGGTATGTTTTTCTAGCTGTGCTCTACGTTATATATATATATATGTGTGAGGCAGCGTGATGGAATCAGGCTCTCGTCAAAATAATCAAAGTTAAGAAACTTGCATTTTTCCGCAGGCTTGTGAATTTTTTTCGATTTTTTGTTTTTTGGCTCAACACCTTTCATGCCCATTAAAGAACTCATTTCTATGTGGGTTTTTCATAAAAACGTTGATTTAAGGCACAAAAAATGTAAATTTTCAATTACCACGGACTCTTAAGCTAGGGAAGTAACTAATCTTTGGTGGCCATTTTCTCACTAATTTTACCTCTGAAAACAGGTGACCCCCACCTCCTTCATTGGCAAATATCTCGACTTGTATTCAAGATAAAGGGATATATTTTTCATTGAAATAAAGACAAGTGAATAAGCTTTAAGATGACACCAATAACTCTACATGCCCAAAAATTGACGAGAGCTTGATTCCAACACGCTGCCTCACATATTGATCTGTCCTTGTTTGACACCTCCCTATTTTTCTTTCCTTATCTTTTATTGTCTTTCACGGATTCTCTTTCATGGGTGCATCGTTGTTTTAGGATAACGAATGTCATACTCTAGTTTTTAATCTGATATGGTATCATGTAGCTCTATCACCCCTCCAACGAGGAGGCTTGATATTTGTCTGAGACGTTTTATACAAATTATAAATAATTTCTCACAAGACGCCGCGAGGGATGGAGAGAGCCCACCGAGAGAGCCTCAAACAATTTTATTGAGAACCCCCGGGGCAGTGCCACTGTCTGTAGTGTCTTTAGGCCATTCCCAAAGGGGGGGGGGGGCATTTCTCGTTTAAGCACAGTAGAATTGTAAATGGGCTGATTCAACAATGTCACGCTCATAACTGTGCCTGATCTACAACAGGGAACTGCTGCTGTTTCTTTCCTCATCCTTACTATTGTCATTTTCCTCTACTTCTCTTGTATGTTTGTCACTCTCTTGTGACCTGCTATTTCTGGGGTGCCTTGATTGCCCCTTGATTGCCTTGATAGTCGAAGCAGACTTTGTGCAGTTGAAGCTAGAGAGGTGAGCAGA